AAAAACAAAGAACTAAAACTGTTGTGAAATACAAACCAAACAACGACCTAATATTAGGTTATTTTTCCCTAACAAGGTCATTATAACGACCATAAAATTATCTAAATGTCGACTTGAGATTGGGTTTGAGTCTGTTGAGATCCTTGTAACATCAGCTTACGAAATAATAGTCGGTAGAACACCCAAATATGAAACAGATGTGACTGGGTTCATGGTGCCTTTTATTTCAACTGGGATACATTGAATCGACCTATGAAAAACTGTAAACTGATAAGTAAAACATCGTCGATATATCTGAATTACAAATTGAAGGCCACAGCTAGTGTATTTTCCTAATATGTTTCTAATACGTTTTTACTTTTTAGTCAATTCTGCTTCTTAGGAATGAATATAAAATCAATGATTTCAAGAGGACAAGGGACCAGATGTGAGACCTTGTCAGCAAATACAATCTATCATGAAGTGAGATGCTGATTGACGTTATTCATGCAAAGTGTCGAAAGGGGATGCTTACTTCCTAATAGCTCCTGACCCCCCTCTAATGGCTCTAAATGTTCTTGTTTGCTATTCTCCCAAAATTTTATTGTTTCAGGTTTTTTTGTTAAAGCTGTTTAACTCATCGTTATTTTGATATGTGATTGTAATAAATTGAAAAGACTTCAATGTATATTGCATTCAAACTTGTGTAATTGCTTATATTAAATAATAACTTACATCTTGGGTTTTTCTTTCTTTCTTTCTTTCTTTTTTGTTCATATTTACATATGAATAGCGAACTTTCGTAAGTCTTATCTGCCTTATGAAGTATACAAATAGTATCAATCTCTTATTGACCGAATTACTAAGGATCCTTCTAATATCCATTTAGAATGATCATGAATGAAGAATTGATTGAGATATAGAGTCCCACGTCAGTACATCAATTAACGAGTCTGTGCGTTTGGAGAGGACCATCACCAAAAGCTGTTACATCAAGAAAACGAGGTGTAAATCTCTTAATGACGCGGGTTTACATCACGGAGTCAATTATTGAATGGAACGCACCCACATTGCACATTAACCGCCTTTCATAGTAATCAGGAATTGTGTTTAAGGATTTGGAATTAAGTAGAACAATTAAGGGAATTAGGTGGTTAATTATTTTGGAAAAATTGTGGTGCAAAACTTTTCTTCCTTGTCTAATTGAGACAGAATTAGCTATTTGAAGAGTTGATAATGTTGAGTTGCGCTCTACTCCTCTCTTCCTTATAAATCTGTCAACATCAATATATACTCAATAGACACGTTTCTTAACTTTTTATGTGCCCAAAACTAAGTTTCGGGACATAAATATGCATTGTTTTACTCCTTTTGTTACTATTATTATTCTTCCTGTTGTTTTTTTTTCCGAGAGTGATCTTGGAAAACACCAATTGATTGAAACCTTTGGTGTTCATAGACATTTTTTTTAGATTTGCGAAACCAAGGTAATTTCTGGCGAACATACCAATATGGATTGCACATGCAATGATTAACGATGAAATTCTTAATTTAAAATAGCATTCATATTTTTTAATGACTTAGGGAATGAAGGTATGTATTTGTCTTTGCAAGATTACAAGATCAAAAAGCATTAACTTCTTAATATACATGCACGTGCGCTTCATTCAGCATGGTTGAAACTAAGATCTCATTAGTTTTTTTTATTTTTTAAACAAAATGGTTAAAAAATAAATTATGTATGTATATGTTATTATCGTTTACAATTTTATATATCTAATGTAAGATAAATCTTGAAAAACTAATTATGCGCGTGTGCTTCTATTTCATTTGCTGAAACTTAAAATAATATTTTTCTTGGTTTTGAACAAAACATATATATTGTATAGATAGGCATGATTTCATGTATTATGCTATTATAAGAATAGAATTCATGGACTTCAACGCATGTGTGCTGAATTCAGATTGGCTAAAAGTAAATACTTTGAATAATACTGTAGATTCCTAATTATAATAATACGCGAGGAATTAATTTCCGCGTAATTTCGCGAGAAGCACCACTCGCGAAGAAATTTTACTCGCTATTATTTTTATAAAATTTGTAAATTCCGTTGATCAACTGTCCATTCTCGAATTAAAATTCTCGCGATTTGACGTTAAAGAGCCAGTTCGAGAAAAAAAGTATTCGCGAAAAAAAGGAATCTATAGTAAGATATTACATATATTATATGTGAAAATTAGAGTATATATTTGTGCGAAATAAAAAAAAATATTCACTCACGACTGCTGAATTCCGATTTACGGGGACTGGAAGTTGTAACTACTTTCTTAATTTACAATTAATGAAGGCAAATGTATGTATCATAATCAATGGCAACGCAAAGAGGAGCATCTATGGCATGTCAAACGTTGCAATATTTGATAATCTTGTGATGTATATTCAAAATCTTGTGATGTATGTTCGAAATCTTGTGATGTATATTCAAAATCTTGTGATGTATATTCAAAATCTTGTGATGTATGTTCGAAATCTTGTGATGTATATTCAAAATCTTGTGATGTATATTCAAAATCTTGTGATGTATGTTCGAAATCTTGTGATGTATATTCAAAATCTTGTGATGTATGTTCAAAATCTTGTGATGTATATTCAATATCTTGTGATGTATATTCTTAAACTTGTGATGTATATTCTATAATCTTGTGATGTATGTTCGAAATCTTGTGATGTATATTCGAAATCTTGTGATGTATGTTTGATAATCTTGTGATGTATATTCGAAATCTTGTGATGTATGTTCGATATCTTGTGATGTATATTCGAAATCTTGTGATGTATATTCTATAATCTTGTGATGTATGTTCGAAATCTTGTGATGTATATTCGAAATCTTGTGATGTATATTCTATAATCTTGTGATGTATATTCAATATCTTGTGATGTATGTTCAAAATCTTGTGATGTATATTCAATATCTTGTGATGTATATTCGAAATCTTGTGATGTATATTCTATAATCTTGTGATGTATGTTCGAAATCTTGTGATGTATATTCGAAATCTTGTGATGTATGTTTGATAATCTTGTGATGTATATTCGAAATCTTGTGATGCATGTTCGATAATCTTGTGATGTATATTCGAAATCTTGTGATGTGTGTTCTACAATTCAGTGATGCGTGCAATAAAATTGCATGACGTTACAGAAAAGTAAGGACAATTTTCATTGGTTAGAAATAACGAAAGTAGCCGGAGCGGTCGTAATGCACACATTGACACAACTTCGCAAGCATGAAATTGACGAATTCAACCTGAAGTCAAAATTATAGGTAATAGAAAAATTGTTTTGGTATCAAGAAGCACTAAGTCAGTCATAACGTGAAAAGTGGGAATCAAGAACATTAATTTGATTTGTTTGAAGGTACATCAAAAACAATTTAGTGGCTTATTGCTGGACTAAACAGCTAAAGGATGTTTTATCCTATTTTTACGTCCTCATATTGTAGTGATGTTGATTAATCGGTATGATTTATTCTATATTGGTGCTAGTTAGAATAATCTAACTGTGTCTCGGGACAAACTCTCACCACGCAGGGTTCGAAATTGCATGGCCCATTGGGTACCGGCCCATTGCAGCTGCATTGACCGTAGCACTAGTCCAGGGACGAATTTGCAATAAATAAATAAATAACACGACAAATTTTTAGGAGAAGGGGAATGTCTGGAAAAGATTAATTGCTATGCATCATTGAATATTGTCATTCACAAATTTGTCCAATTATTTTTATAGTAAATGTATTGAGCCGGGCTCATTTACAGGATAATGAACAAGGACTGTGGTGACAGTTTAAAATCACGTTCAGACGTTTAGAGAATATGTAATACACACAAAAATATCTCAATGGCATGTATAATATTAAATAGTTTTAAAAATAAAATAAAATATAGCTAGAAATTAACAGCGAAAAATATTTATCACGTATTGTGTCGGGGTAATCCGGCTTTATATACAAACAGAAGTAAATAAACACCGATGCAGCAAGATTAAGGTCAAACGTCTCTGCACTGATGTGTCCTCAGCGGGGAGATTTGCATTAAGTCATTAATGATGTTCCCTGCATTTGTGTTAGCCTGATAGTACAACCTTTATTTATAGAATCAATCTAATTCAAATTAGATGTTAGATCCGCTTGCATACTCGCTACACTAACATCTAACAACATCCCGTTGAGGGTCACGTCAGAGGTCAAATTCTATCAATTAATCAAATCGCAGCTGGCAAAATCATCATATATTGTTGAAGCGAATAAATCTTGAGGCGTTCCGAATTTAACCTCTTACGTGACCCTCAATGGGATGACTTGTTAGATGTTAGTGTGGCGAGTATGCGAGCAGATCTAACATCTAATTTTAATTATATTGTTTATAGAATATGATGCAGACAGGGATACCTGGTGAAAACCTTTCGCACCCGTTGAATTATACTTTGTAAAATATTAGTCAAAGGAGCCAGGAAAAAATATTAAACAATTTAATATTATGATAAAAATATTCAATTTACTATTTCTTAAGGTGTTGAATGGATTTTGTTTTCTCAACAGCGGCTGGTGCACATACCATACTTTTACTCGTAAACTCAATTTGGCGGTGAAGAAGCAGCATTTTCTGTTGCTCACCGTCGCAATAGCTGAGCATTGCTCTACGAGCAATGTGCCCGGCTAAAAATCATAATATTTGTAATGATATATCATATTCTAGACTTGACATACAATAAACAATGATAAGAATTATTGTTGCATATCTGCAGTGATTTTCTTTGATCTTTCTGTGGTGATAATTTATCCCATAATATCACATGTGTGATAATACTTTCCAAACATGTTTCAAAGTTTTTACACTCTTTATCATACAGTTTTAAAGAACAGTTTTATGACCTCATAAGTATATTAAATGGTTAATTTATCAAAACCTGCATTTAAAAATTCAGAAGTCTTAAGTTAAACCAAATTGTCTAGGGTATTCTTAGTAAGGTATGTCAAAGGTCATGGTTAAGTGACTTTGTAAGGCTGGTATTTTTTCTTTAGTTTTATGGCAATCAGTGCACATGGTAAATAGCATAAAATTACCCTTAAAGGTCTTATGCAAGGAGATAGCTAATTAAAATGAACAAATGTAGTTCTATGTATGATGTATATAGAGACAATAATATTTCTTTTCTTTTTTCATTTTCAGGAACTTTACATAGGTCTACAGTTTTAATTTTGGACTCATGCACTAGGAATATCATATCAGCAGAATTGTGCCACTGAATCAAAGGGAACTCTTTTTTTTTAGGTACGCATGATCGATGTAACTTCCTCGATGGTGTGTTGGCTGTTTGCCCATGTGTATTTTGGGGTATAGGTATGTTTAGTCTCAATTTTCTTTCTTAAAAGCCGCATAAGGGGTATATTTTTTCTGATCTCAAATTTTGTCTAAGCATTAATCTTTTTTCTCATTCATGAATTATCTGCTGAGAGTCTAGTTAATTAATTTATTTAATTAAAGCTATATAGTAACATATAGTGAAATTATTTCCTTGTGTGAGACCTAAAGAAAATCAGGTTACTCATTTTTATGACAATTTCTTTGATTTCAGGAGTAGCCTCCCCTTTTAAAGATCAAAAATGGTGATTTTACAGTGCGGCATGCAGTCTGGTCTTCAACGAAGAGTTTTGACACCTGTAATACCCATATTTCTACCATTCACCTCTGTAACCTTTGTTGAGTTCATCAGACTGGTAAGAAAAACAATATTGTTAATTGAAATAATTTTATCAAGATAAATAAAATAATTAATGAAAAAAAAATTACATGAACACTGACTCCCTCATATAAGAAAATGTCACATTTTACACATTGCAATTATACATCATTTACATATTCACATTTTCCCCATTTACACATGCAGTTGAATAGATTTAGTGCTTAATAATACATAGCAACAATTATTACACGAATCCTAAGACAATTCACAAAATACATGAATGCATTAAACTGTGAAATACAGATTTCGTACATTTAATTAAACTGCACAGCATCAGAACCCCCCCCCTTCACAATCTTGCAACTTTCTTTTTAATTCAAAGTCACTAGGCAACACTAAAGATTTCCACTTATTGCTTTTCTGTCCAAGACAGGAAGTTGAGGAACAAAGTTGACAGGACATCCTGAACTGTCTTCGCTACCAGCTTATGAGGGAACCAGCTGCAGTGGACAAAGTATGTTACATCATAGGATAATAGGTAAGTCTCCGGAGTAGTGTTTGTAGCAATTCTCGTACTTGGTCCTGCATCGAAGATTCAGGACTATTGACATTTATCTCTGCTTGGTTTGGTTCTTCCCAGAAACATGTTACTGGTGGTGGTCCCTATATTCTTCTGGCTTTTGTGGTGAGGAATGTTTCATTTCTAGCTCTTTTCTGATCACATTTTGTCTATCTAGCTGTTTGTCTGTCTGTCTGTCCATCTGTCTGTCTGTAAACTTTTCATATTTTCGACTTCTTCTCTAGAACCCATGGACCAATTTCAACCAAACTTGCCACAAAGCATCCTTGAGTGAAGGGGATTCAAGTTTGTTCAAATAAAGGGCCACACCCTCATTCAAGGGGAGATAATTGGGAATGAATGTAAATTTGATGGTATGTTTTAAAAATCTTGTTCTCAAGAACCACTGTGCCAGGAAAAATGAAACTTATGGAGAAACATCCTCAGGTAGTGTAGATTTAAATTTGTTCAAATCATGACCACCGGGGGGGAGGGCGGAGCCACAATGGCTGACCAAAGTTTAACATAAAAATATGTATAGGAAAATTCTTTAAAAATCTTCTTCTCAAGAATGACAAAGCCATAATTGATCCTATTTATATGGAAGCATCCTCAGGTAGTGTCGATTCAAGTTTGTTCAAATCATAACCCCCGGGGTAGGGCGGGGCCACAATGGAAGATCAAAGTTTTACATAGAAATATAAAGGAAAAATCTTTAAAAATCTTCTTCTCAAGAACAGCAAAACCCTGATTGATCATATTTATATGGAAGCATCCTTAGGTAGTGTAGATTCAAGTTTGTTCAAATCATGTCCTCGGGGGTAGGACGGGGCCACAAAGGATGATCAAATTTTATGTAGAAATATATAGGAAAATTCTTTAAAAATAACCTTCTCAAGAAAAGCAAAGCCATTATTGGTCAAGGGACTACTTTTGGATTTAAACTTTTCAATAAAAAACCAATTTTTACTTTTTCCTAGCCACAGTGCTCAGGTGAGCGATGTGGCCCATGGGCCTCGTTTTTTTTTTTTAAAAAATGATCAATCATTAAATATAAATAAATCAGTTGTTAAAAAATTTGCTTCATATTTGAAGTGCCTTAAACCGACCCTCTGATGAAAGTGACCAGTGTTTTTTGCACCTTGGAAGGTTTATTGGTAAAATATAAGAATGAAGTTATGATTTTGGTGTTACTATTGTTGTTATTTAAGTTTGATTCGATTTTTATATTACGAGTATTATGAAACTGTTATTTTGTTACTGACCGATGGTTAATTTTAATTGTGAACAAATGTACAAAGATGAGGAGTATAATATAGTTGGCTATGTATAATGCCCAATTTTTGAACATACTATGTAATAAATATTAATAACAACCTTTGAATAATTGGAAAGACAATATTATAAATATGATAGCATTTTTGTACATGAGCATACATTTTTGAAAGGAAAAATAAATTATTCAATTGCATTAAAAAAAATATTTTGTTTCATATTCTTGCGAATTATCAGATCATTCTTCTATTATTTAAATACTCTGTCATTATGAAACCTTGTTAATAATTAAGTAAATATTAATTGTACATTTGCACCAATTTTTACATGGCATTTTCACACTAAGAATGCCACGTGCAAAATTATATACAGGAACAATTCTGAACAAATATATGCAAGTGAGTTGTAAATTTGATATGTAATGCATACATTACAAAAACCCATGACAGTGTTCACTAAAATGAAATGTATGGAATCTTATATAAATACTTGGTATATGTGATATGGATATTATGGATGATATTTTTGAGAATGACACAAGTAATGAAATTTTTCAGCATTGAATTGGATTCTTGAACCAGAGCCATGTGAACCTGGTCCACCTGTACCTCTCATTGAAGACCTGTTAACATCACCAGAGTATGTTCATTCTGATACCCCTATGGTATGGTTACAGCATGCATTATCCCTGAATCCATTAAAAGAGCTGCATTGGCAATGAAACAACCCAATGTGGTCGATTGTAAGGAAACATAGCATATCAGCTTCCAACTTTGGTGCAGTTCTCAGTTCTAAGCAAAGGCGGTAAGACGTGTGATTAAATTTTTGCGAAATAGACTTTTAAAATTACAGTCAAACTTTGTTATCTCAAACCCATTATCTCATATTTCATGGATATGTCAAAGTAATTTTGAAGTCCAAACCATTTATAAAAGACTGGGACATTTTATTCTTGATAACTCTTTATGTATTATTCTTGAATCCACGGATATTTCCAACATTTTTCTTGGTCTCATTGAGTTTAAGATAATGAGGTTCGACTGTAATGACTAGATATTTGTACATAAAGATGCAGGAAATATAAGATTAATAACCAAAAATCATATTTTCTTCTCCAGATTGACATTGTCACTGAAGAAACAGCTGATGTCGGCTTGCAATCTGGAGTCCATCAAGGCTGTTGCATGGGGTATCACTCATGAAGATGATGCTTTGAGAAAGTATGAAAAGGACTTTGATGCAGCTGTAGAGCAGTCAGGTATACAGCACAAAATAACATTCATTCAACCTCTGACATGTTAACATTCAATGTGTCAAAACAAATAACAGGACTTATCCTGGTAAAAAAACAGAAATCAATTACTGAAGTCTAATTGTAAAAAAAAAACTAGAAATATGTCCATAGGACATGAATGCCCCGCCGAGGATATATTAGTAAAGCAACATGAAATTTGTACATGTATAAAATTTGATCAGTTTGGTTCAGGCAGGGCTTATAGTTAGTTGGGAATAAAAATGTAGGTCCAGCATCCAAAGCAAGTCTGGTAGTGTCCATCCCTAGATGCATCATCCATGCAAGTTTGGTCTAAGTAGGGCTGATAGTTCCTTAGGAATAAATCTGCTCCAAAAACTTCAACCTGGTCACTCATCTGGAAAATGTAGGTCAGATCCAGCATCCGAAGCAAGTCTGGTAGTGTCCATCCTTAGATGCATCATCCAAGCAAGTTTGGTCTAAGTAGGGCTTATAGTTCCTTAAGAATGGACCTGCTCCAAAAACTTTAATTTGGTCACTCATCTGGAAAATTTAGGTCAGATCCAGCATCCGAAGCAAGTCCGATAGTGTTCATCTCTAGATGCATCATCTATGCAAGTTTGTATCAACATGTAAAGTTTGATAACACCATCTTGAATGGTATGTTTAAAACAGAGCTAAACACTATTTAAGAAAAGTCAGGTCAAGGTCAAAGGAAAGGTCAAGGTCAAAAAATGTTGATGCAGTTGCATAGCTCTCATCAATATCTATCAGCATATGAAGTTTGATGAAAATATCTTGGATAGTTTCTTTGAAACTTAGCTTTGAACAGAGCTAAACACAAAGTGGGACGGAAGGACAGAAGACGGACATGACAAACACTATATGCCCCGGCCATATTCATGGCGGGGCATAAATATTCAGTTACCAACATATTCCAGAAAATTTGCTTTTTGAAGTAGAAGGATTATAAAAGCTCTACTTAGACTTTGTTTGCATTACAAAATCAATTGTATTATGGTTTGTTTGCATTCAGTAGTATTATAATTTTTTCTGGAAAGGATATGGTTGCATGAATCCGGAGTGTTGGGAGCTTCACCTGATGGCTTAGTTGTTCGACCACCAACATGCAGTGTATTTTATCAAACTCCAGAAGCCAAAGACGCCATTCCTGATATTGTAGAGGTGAAGTGTCCATATACAGCATCGTCATCAACAGTAGCAGATGGGGCACAAAATTTGAAGGATTTTTCATAGGTAAATAACATTAAAAATCTGTATTGTCCAGTACTTTGAAATTAAAAATCTTGGTGAGTAAATGATTTCAAAACATGTATTAATTTACAAGTGCAGCTGTTCAATATGGTATGAAGATATTGAAAAAGGAGGGGATATGTACTGGTATGACACAACTTAAGTGTTTTTTGATTTTTTTTTAGATCTTAAACAAGATACCCTGTGCCTGAAAACCAGTCACCCGTACTATCATCAAATTCAAGGCCAGCTACACATATGTAACAAAACATTCTGCGACTTAATTGTGTGGACAAGAGTAGACTGCATTGTGATTAGAATAGTAAAAGACATTGAATGGACAGCAAATGTTCCAAAGCTGATAGATTTCTACATTAACATTTTCATTCCAGCACTGATGGAAAACTGAGTTCTGGTTTGAACTTCTTGACACTTAGTTTTGTACCTCTAGAATTTTCTAACAATGGAAAATGGGTAATCATGTTAAATGGGTTGAATGTTCCCAAGTCTCATAAATGTATGATATGATATGTCACAATCCAATGAATCCATCATAAAACTTCTGGCTTATAAGACTATTTTAAATAGCAATGATGATTAATAAAATCTATGTACTACATAAAAAAAGAATATCAAAATTTAGAATCATTTTATTAATGAATTGAAGATGTTATTCTCAAAGTGAAAATGTAACATTTTTGTCTTTCTTAATAGATAAATTGTTGAAAACATGAATTTGTTGAGTTGTGCTTTAAAGGTAAATATACTTTAAACTAGAGATTTAAAATTATAAGTAAACCCTCTTCCAAATTATATTGTCAAATGAAGAATCGAATTGCCAAACATTCTTGTAATAAATCCATGCTAAACAAAAGGGATTTTCATTTTCTGAAGTACATGTATTACAACATACTACAAAGTTAACAAATATAACCATTGACATTGATAACAAATCAAAATTTGCTTATCCCTTGCACTTTGGTATGAATATCTTCACTGTTTAGTGTATACTGTCACACGCCAATGCAAATTTATAATAAGTACATGTATCTTTAAGTAATTTCTTTCAAAAGTGGAGCTTGCAAGTTTACAAGACAAGAACAGAGTTGAAATATTTTTGTTGAGATTGGTCTGTAAGTAGATGGTATGTGACGGAGAATCTCGTAATTCTTTATCCTCTCGTTGGCTCTTTCCACATGAATAAGTGCTTTAGCAATCTTGTAACAGTGCTGCTTCTTGTATGGTAAACTGGCCTCGTGTCGATAAAAGAGCTTTTATAATTAAGCAGACACCCTGGGGCAACTGGTCATGAATGGTGAAACCTTTGACCACCAAAATAAGGTCTCCAGCTTTGAACTTTCGTAAAACTTGGCTGTGACGTACAATAGCTACATCAGAAGTAGAACCTGGGTACAGCATGGAGCAAAATGTAAGTGCACCATTTGGAGGCACGCAAGTTACTGCTTTAAAAGTATGGCAACTTTTGTACATACTGTAGGCCATGGCCTGATTATCCATATGTGTTGGGATGTCCTGGGTTGTTTCATTTGCATCCATGGATGCTCTAGCAGAGGAAAAATCCTCAAAAGATTTTGGCAGAGACCCTGAAAAAAAGTTGGAAAAAAATTAATTTGATTATTTGTAATTGTGTAAAAAAAATTGTGTTACAGTCAATCTTTCAAGAATACAATAAATTTAACTGCATTAAATTTTTGCAAGTCATTATGATAAATTTTAAAACAAACCTTTGCATTTAAGCCGACTTGGAAAACATTCTACGCTACATTCTACACTACGCCATCAGACAGCATCTTGTATAGGGAAAAGACCACTAATTATTTTCCCATAGAACTCCATACAAACCTTAGGCCCTCTCAGTACTTTACTATGACAATTTCAGAAAAATCTTTAGCATCATTTCAAACTTTGTTCTAAGCCCTAACAAAAAATACTGAAAAAAATATATGGTCCCATGGCGTTTATAGGTCAAAATTGCAGTTATTTTCAACTTATAGAGATTCGCAGTAAATAACACGCGGCATAAAAAATTAACCCCCACTCCTAAAATCTTCCCTGGCATTTTTATAGTTTCTGTAATATTCCCTCATCCCATCATTTATTTCAAAGGTCATTAATTTTACTTTAAAATGAAAACAATTAAATACCTGATTTCAGCCAATGGCGTAACGCCTACCCATTCAGTATTCGGTTTAATGTTCCATAACAAACAAAGCCATGTGTGCATCCGGGGGTTTGGTGCTCTCATTCCTATACTTACATACTTACCTGTCCCAGAATTAGTCAATTGTGGTAATTTCAAAGACTATACACCTACCTGTGAACATGTATGAAATTTGAGTCCTGTGACTTCAGTGTATTGGATACTGTGACCATCTCAAATGACGACACCTTACTGCTACCAGCACAATTCAAAAGAGTGAATGACGTCTGGGCCGGTGATGATATTTGGATATATTGGTGACTGTAATAAATAAAATATTTGTACAATGAATTGTTTTTGTGCTTTGATGTTAATAAAGTGATATTAAGTCAAAATTGAGTCAATAATTTCATAAGGGTGGATTCTACCCAGAATTAGGTAAAAAGCTCCAAAATTGGATAAATCATAGTTAATTAAGCAAAATTCAAAGGTTTTAAAAAGACTGATATAGAATTTTTTTATGCTTATGCAAAGTATATTTTTTAAGACTCTGATATCTAATTGATTCTTATCTAATCCCTCCTATTGCTTAAGTATGTACAAAAAAGTTTCCCCACTCCCCAGTGAAAAACACTTAAAGAAATAGCAGGTGCCCCCTTTTATTTTTGTTTACAATTAATTTAGACAAGTTTAAATCAATCCTTTTGATAACAAATCAAAGTTCAATGTCTGTAGTCTTATACATTACAATCAGAAGCTACTTTTTGAATTTTATTCTAAGAAAAGGAGAATTTAAATAATTTTTTTTAAAAATTAAAGAAAAGCAAAAACTGAACCCAAAATGTACTTTACAATAAGAGGCTGGAAAGTTAATAAATAAAATTTTTACCTGCAATGTACAGAAAACTGTCCGACAAAATACATCGGGTGGGTAGGGAGTCTCCATTTTCTTCTTATATAGAGAAAATGCCCCTGCTGATCAGAGACCTAAACTCCCAAATAATAACAAAATATGTTAACATAACAGTCAATCTAAGATGTTCATCCCTCAATGGCAACAAGTTTTTATTACAGTAACTGAAATTGTTAGGAAATAGGAAATCACAATTGGAATTCCTTTAAATGTACCTTCTCTTCGTTGTATTTAATATCGTGGATTGATATTGGCTTCCTTTTACTAGACTCTATTTTTAGGGCAAGCAATTCCAGTTGTATTTCTGTTGAGAGGCGCTGCATTTCTTGAGTACAGTTAAATGTGCAGGATGCTGAGTAGTTGTGCTCTGATATCAACTGAAAATATATTGTAAATCATGTACAGTTAAAAGAACTTTATATATTATTAAAAATTATTGAAAATGTTTCAGTGTTGGTCATTTGTCATCATTGGTGTTTTAAATGAGCTTTACTTTTTCTTGATATTGACATTTTGGTGCTTGTGGAATCTGCAACTGGTCCATCTGTGAAGATGACAGGGACTCCTCACTTTTGAGTTTTTTCCTCCTTTGTAAAATAATTAAACTTGAATTATTTTTTTATTCAGTTGTAAGCTACTCTGTTTATACATGTACCCTTTTAAAGATTTTTAGTAAAATATTCTCAATTAAACTCCACCCACCCACCATCCAAAAACAAGATGTCGGTCATATTTTGAAAAATAATTTCACCTTTTTGTACATTCAGGATCAGAGAAATCCATGGCCTTTCCTTCATTCCATGCAAAATATGCAGGGTCCCCCTCCTTCTTACCATCCTTAAAGTGGCAGGAGCAGATGCGATCATTCTGATCTCCTGGTTGGCGATCAGCTCATCTAAAAATATACATTATACAAAGACTGAGTGAAGGAGAATTAAAAAGCAAAACATGTTCATTTAGCATGTTATTATCAAATAGCCTAAATGACTTATTTTTTCATTATTTTTTTTTTTAAATGTTACATTTACTTGCAAGTACAAGATAACCATGTGCATAACATTAACTAATCCGAGATTCCTCTGACTCTAACCCCCAGTCTGATTAAAATCAAACCTTCACTAGCTCCTTTTTATTGTTTTGTTTCACGCGACAAAACAATAAAAAGGAGCTAGTGAAGGTTTGATTTTAATCAGACTGTCAACCCCCGCTTTTATATTGTGACTTGTGCGCACAAGTCAAATATAAAAGCGGGGGTTAGAGTCAGAGGAATCTCGGATTAAACATTAAAAAAAGGTAACAGTATTTGGTAGTAATAATACGAAATAAAATGTAATAAAAACAACTGTTAAACAAAAATTAATATTGCTACAAATTGCACAGTTTTTGTAGTATGTACTCTTCATTATTCTTCTGCTATATTGATTACTACGAGATTTAACTTTTTAGCATGCATGTATAAATATACTGTATCTGACAATGCAGCATCGTGACATATCGTTACAAGTACCTACAAATTTTGTCAATACATCTACGTTTACTGAGTTTTTTCCCTAGCAGGCCGAAATATCTCCATCATGTCACCAGGAACAACACTCGTGCATCTCGTAATTAGTGCTGCAATAAACAAACTGATGTGTTTTTTCTCACCTGCATGGTTTTCCCGACTCTTCAGCTACTTTCGTTATTTCTAACCAATGAAAATTGTCCTTACTTTTCTGTTGCGTCATGCAATTTTATTGCACGCATCACTGAATTGTAGAACACACATCACAAGATTTCGAATATACATCACAAGATTATCGAACATGCATCACAAGATTTCGAATATACATCACAAGATTATCAAACATACATCACAAGATTTCGAATATACATCACAAGATTTCGAACATACATCACAAGATTATAGAATATACATCACAAGATTTCGAATATACATCACAAGATATTGAATATACATCACAAGATTTTGAACATACATCACAAGATATTGAATATACATCACAAGATTATAGAATATACATCACAAGATTTCGAATATACATCACAAGATTTCGAACATACATCACAAGATTATAGAATATACATCACAAGATTTCGAATATACATCACAAGATATCGAACATACATCTCAAGATTTCGAATATACATCACAAGATTATCAAACATACATCACAAGATTTCGAATATACATCACAAGATTTCGAACATACATCACAAGATTATAGAATATACATCACAAGTTTAAGAATATACATCACAAGATATTGAATATACATCACAAGATTTTGAACATACATCACAAGATCTTGAATATACATCACAAGATTTCGAACATACATCACAAGATTTTGAATATACATCACAAGATTTTGAATATACATCACAAGATTTCGAACATACATCACAAGATTTTGAATATACATCACAAGATTTTGAATATACATCACAAGATTTCGAACATACATCACAAGATTTTGAATATACATCACAAGATTATCGAATATTGCAACGTTTGACATGCCATAAGCATCCCTTTGCAAAGAACTTATCTGTGAATCAAGGAGTCATTCAACACAGATCCCTATGCAAATGACGTCATTTCTGTTCATACATTTATATTTTCAAATTTTGTTTCCAGAGCATGTTCTCAAGGTCATTTTCCGCTCGTTCGGGAACATGTGGGAAGGACGTTGCTTATCTCTTAGCCAATACATTAAGTTTTCTTGTGAAGTGGTACCAGATAGCATTAAATAAAACACATGAATAAGTGAAATCAGAGATTTTTAAACTATTAAGCTGTGATACACTGTGATACACTAGATACAATATATCCATTGCTTTGATAATCATTGGAAGAAATTAAATTGAAATTTGCATTTGCGTATATATCCTCACTTCCTTGCTTGCTTTACGACCGGTTGTACCAATTAAAGAGTTAATCTCTCTTATCAAATTTCCAAAGAGGTAATTACCTCCACAAAAGAAAAAGAGAGTTCAATACCCATGCTTTTTTTTCATATTTTGAGTCATTTTTAAGTTTTTAAAAGGAATTGTAACAAACCAAACGCCGACACATAAAAAGTTAAAATCGATAGTTTTTCAACTGCTATCTAGAGTCGCAAAGTAAAGAGTTGATCCTTACGGCACGGGTTCAAAGCCCACATTGGGAAGTGGAGAACGGTCCTTCTGATGAGACTGCATAAACCGAGATCCCATGTCGCAGTAGGTGCTTGTACGAAAAAGATCCCTCCCTGCTCAATGGCAGTAAGTGCCGATTATCGGATAAAATTTGCAGCTCTCTACCGTGGTCGCGTTTCCATACCAGTGAAAAATCTAGAGAGACGTTAAACAACACTCAAACAAACAACAAATAAACAAAGAATACTCTTTATTTACAGCACTTTATAAAGTTAAAAAAGAGATAAGAAAGTCTTTTGATATGCGTAAAAATATTTTGTGGGACTTCACGATTAATGCACTTCCTAAAGTAAATGGTTTGCATGCTCTTTGGTATGAGTGCAACAAATATGTCAGATTATTTGCTGAATAAATATATATGCTAAGAATGTTTCTCGTTGACCTTAATTGATTACAGTGTTTGGAAAATATATGCTATGAAATATACAAAAAATTTGAAAACTAATAAATTGTATGAAGAAAACGAACAGTATTCAAGCTCAAAAGTCAAAACATACAAATCAGGAGCAGAGGAAACACAGACCTCAGAGATGGGATCAGGTGCCGTTGAAGAGTGAGCATCCCCTGCAAACTGGTCACCACCGCCGTGTGCTCCTTGTCATGATCGGGAAATAACGGGAAAACATCCGTCCTCAATTCAGTGTGTTAATAATGGACTAATAATTGGTATGAAAAACGTCAGTCAGCATTTGACTAACTGACAAACTGTATTTGGTGACAAGGTCATTGTTTCGACCATAGAGATTACGAAATGATGACTTTAAACGAAACTGTTGACATGCTTGTTTCATCAACTTGTTTGTCAATAAATTACCTCGTTTTAGAAACTGTTCATACGTAGAGCATACTCTTGCGTATCGTATCAACTGAGAGATATAAACAATATTATCACAGATAATTCAATTTATGTCGCTATGAGAAATATATTATATTTTACACCTTAGGATAATTTCGCATATCCCTGCGCAGTCCGCAAGATATGCGCCTCTATCGCAGCGCGATTATCTTCTGCATTATGCAGTATGCAAATCTGAGAAAATAAAATAAACAGAGAGCAATTGTTTATCTGCACAAAATGTGTCAAGGGGGTTATCGGTCAATTAACCTGTCCGCTGATCTACACATGTTTGCTTTTTTATGAATCTGTGTTCGAGGTCAATCGGTCACCACAGGATGTCAGCTGCAGTATCCTGGATTGTACTCTGGCCTCACCAGGGGTTCTCGGGGAGTCTCTCCTATCCTCTCTGATCCTGGCTCCGGATGGAGTCCACCTGTAGTAAACTCCATTCACTGTCCAGCCTGTGAGGAATGTTCTTTTGCTTGTGCATTTTATCATCTTATCAAAGGAATAAGATCCAGTACACCAGTTTATGTTCTATATTATTATTATATTGCCTTAATTAAATTATGCTCAGCTCAGGGCTATATAAAGAGTTGTGTACTGTTCCTTACAATACCTTGCATATCCAGTTAACAATTTACAGAATGTTTAACACAATTTTTCTAATGATGCGAAGATATCAATGAAGTTGATAATCATTTTTTGCAGCATTAGAAAAAGGGAACATTTGGTAAATGCCATATATCTGAAGACATGTTAAGTTTATTTACTAGTTGCCTTACATATAATTCTTAAGGGGCATTATACCTGTAAGGAAGACTCAGCAATGTTTAATATATTTTTATGTTCAGCAAAATCCTTATTAGTGGTTTTTGAAACATTCAATATATCATTAGGCGGAAGCCGCCTATTACATTTGCTTTGTTGACCTTTCGACCTCTCAAGATGTTTGCCTCGTTTCATGGTACTCCAAATGGATGTATCTTAAACTAAGGGCAGACAACCCGCTAAATCATATTCGACCCCCTTCCCAATCTTTATCGTTATTATCTTATCAAAAAGCGTGTGTTATGGCGAATTTATTTTAACAATTTATTTTGATTAATGTAAAAAAGTCCAATAAAATAATACCCTAATAATAGAACGAATAGTTATTTTAGTACTCCGGAGAAGAACGAACGACAACACAAACGTTAAACAAATCGGGTTCAACATTTGATTAGCACGAGGTCCTGACGCGATCTGTAGAAATACTACGTGGGACAAAATAGTTCAAGTAAGTATAATTATGTTTCAGAATTAATGACAGGTACATAGCTACTGAGGAACTAATCTTTTCAATAATCTTGTATAAAATAGATGAAAAGAGGTATGTAACTCCTTTTATCAATTGTTTATTTATATGTATGTACTACATTAGCGTAATAATCTAACACAAGACGATTCAGCGTGAAATTACTGTCAACAAACCCACGTGGAGCACAAATGATTTACAATGGTTGAATGGAAGTTACAGGCCTTCTCTTCAAAATAAGCAAGGTAACTCACGCTGTGTGATTAGCCTATCTTTTATTGTCACCCTTATCTTTTATTGTTTTAACTTGAAAATGTCGCCTCCCTATGCAGGCATGCTTTTGATATCGTAATATGATAGCTGTTATGGTCGGGTCTTATCGAAGATGAACGAACTGGTACTCTTTAATTACCATGATTATATGCCGGGGAGAAATTATTTGAGGAATTATCATGCCGAGTTTGTGTATACATTTATATATATATCCTTTCTCATTTAATGTAAATACATGTGTGTTGAAGGATGGGCCAACATTGTAAAATTTGGACAGAAATTAAGACGCAAGCATAAGAACTACATTGTATTTTAGTCTGAATAGATGTGTCCCTACGGAGGCAGCTAACAGAAAGTGGGATATAATTAAGATTGAATTGTGAATTTGCTCTGTGTCACCTCTAAATGGCAGAAGAAAACTCAACTCAGCACAACCAGAAACACTTTTCTGAAGGTGAGTACATCAATTTATTATATTTCTTGTGGAAAAATTCATATGTCATATCAGCCCGAGTGGCCCCATATCAGCCCGGCTTTCATAAGTTATGATACATATTTTTGATAGCATAACAAAATTAATGTTCTTGTTATGATGGCAAAAATGAACCGAATACTATTTTTGAAAGTATATTTTGACATTTCTTATTTTTGTTGACTTGGGTATTTTCTTTTCATTTTTTTTAAATACATGCTAATACATGATGAGTCGTAGGCTTTTGAGTGAGAAAAAAAAATACAAAAAAATATTAGGGAAGTCAAATCGGTCAATATTTAATTATCGCTTACTGTGACTTTTCCCAATTGAATACACAGTTACACGGTAAAATGTAGATAAAAGTTTGATCTTGAGCCTAGTTAAATTAAGGTCTGTTAACCCACAAAGCTGATTTTATCATGTTTATCAATGTAATACCTGTACACATAATTATCAATTCCATTGGAAATAATTTTTGGTACTAAAATTAGTTATCAAATAAAACACAAATGCACAATCTATCCAAAATTACGAAAGGTTGTTTTAATTGGATCTATTTGACAAACTGCTATGTACACATGTAGGTTATATAACTAGAGAAAGAATGGGGACGGATGTTGTTGGTCATGATCGCTAGTCTTATATTATTTCATTTGTTGGTTGTTACCAGTATACTTACACTAAACTTACTACACAAGTTGACTTTCAGCAGTTTTGAATCTTTCATTATTTCTATATACCCACTTCACTCTTGAAGTGGGTATAGTGGTATTAATTTCTATGCATGTCAGATTTCATTGAATTAATGAATGAATGTAGATCAAGGCGATAACAGATGTTTTACAGTTAAGTATAGATGAAGACATGCTAATTACCATTTGCATGTTTTAGTTATAATAGATAAGTTTTTGATAAAAATGTCTACCTTGAAATAAGAAATAATATACATCTAAGTAACCGAGTACTTATTTTCAGTATTCGATACTTGGATGTTGGATCAAGTACCCGGTGAAGTTGACTACCCTAGAAATATATTATTTAAAAATATATCATAAAAGGTTATTTGAAGTCCTTGATTTCATTTATTGAAAGTCGGATACATTGTAAAATCAATTTTGTTAAATAAACATGAGATATTCTTAATTTTTTATTTTCAATTATACACTTTGTAGAAAATTCTGCCAAGAGACAGTTGTGAGGGGAATTGTGTAGATAATCTCCAGAAAAGAAATCAACACTGATATTGGGATGTATGTACCAATATTTTACAATCATCAAAGACAAATTTACCGCAGGAATAAAAAAAATTGTCTGGCGTTCAAGGACTTGCCATGGTGGAAGCTCTCCTGAAAAAATATTCCATTTATTGTGGACATCATGACATAGGGCTCACCTGTCATCAGCATTAGAGACTTATGTGATTTGTTCTACCTGGGCCATACATGTATTGAATGAAAACAATTCATAGAACCACAAGCACATTGTAAATCTATGTAAGGTCTTCTATGTATGTTGCATCCTTATTTAATTAGCTGTTTTATAACAAGACTTTGTTTCATTGGTACTAAAACTTAATACACACAAAAAACCAAAAAGCAGTTGTGATATTTATTGTTTTTTATTACTCATTAGTGCTCATTTTTGTGTGAAATTTTATAATTATCCATTTCTTGTTCCCCAAAACCATACCTTACAAATTTTATGTATTGGAACTTGCATTTCGATTTTCTCTTGTTATACTTGACAAAAACTAGAGGTACTGTAAGCAATGAGCTCACTAAATGAGACCCCCGCCTCCCATATGATTATAATGGAAAAGTCCATGTTTTGCTGTGGCCGGGAAACCCAAAATATGTGTCGGATCAAAAAGTAATATACATATAGAAGGTGCACAATGGCAATATGTAATAAAGATTCTGTGAAGGTTTCATTAAATTTCACTCAGTGGTATAAGAGGAGTTGCGTATAAGAGACGAGTACCCCAAAGCATAACAGATGGACGGAAGCTAGACGTACAGACGGACGGAGAGACATACCGATTACAGTATACCCTCCCGCTGTTCAAGCAGGGGGTATAATAAATGTTAAAATGTTCATATTGCTATTGACGTCACTTATTCCCATGTCTCCGCCAATCGCAACTTCTCGGGCCTTTCCGACTAGAGAAAAACGACCTCGAATGTACAATGTACATGGAAGACGACATGACAACCCTCCTTTTTCACGATCTTTGAAATAAATGCATGGAGCTCTGTAGAATAAGGAGTTTAACTTTTTTCAATGTAATGATATTACCTAAAATATATTATAGAAGGGACTTCTAACTCCGTCTATCCCATATTTGAATAAACAGGAAATGTATAAATTTTTAACATCCGCTGATGTTAACATTCGAGCTTGTTTTTCCGACCTCTGACGGAAAGACCCGAGATGATGTGATTGATTTCTCCGCTTCAGTAGGATGACATATTGTTTATTCTTGTTCCTTGGTTTCAATACTACAATCCATCAAAATATTTATCACCCCCCCCCCCTTTTAAAACAGATTATGCTTCAAATATGTGTCATTAAAGTTTTGAACAAAAGAACTTGCAATCATGCTTCCGCCTATCAGTACTCTCAGTTCTTTGATTTTTTTATTTATTTTCAAGTTTTGATGGAAACATTCAGTATATGTTTAAAAGTTTTCCTGGAAATTAAGTATTTTAATTCAAAATATTGGGAAAACATTCAGTTCAATGTTTCATTGTTTTTGTGCAAACATTCAGTATAAGGTTTCAAAATTTTGGAGAAACATTCAGTATGCTTCATTGTCTTTGTAAAAACATTCATTATAATTAATATTTCAAAGTTTTTGTCTTCAACATTCAGTATAATGTTTCAAAGTTTGTGTAGAAACATTCATTATGATACTAGTATTACAAGTTTTTGTAGAAACATTCAGTATAATGTTTCAAAGTTTATGTCAAAACATTCAGTATAATGTTTCAAGCTTTTCCTGGAAACATTCAGTTTACCCTTTCAAAGTTTATGTTGAAACATTCAGTTTAATGTGTCA